AGTTTATATATTTCTATTTCCACACTTCAAATGTTTAAAACTGTATATTGTAAAGTGGTGGAAACACTAATACCATACTGGGAAAATACTCCACTACAATAAAAGTCCTGTATTGAAAACCTTAAGAAGAAGAAAGAAGAAGAAGATAATACTTTATTGATCCCCTAGGGGGAAATTGTTGTTTTTCACTCTTTTTGTATCTATACACCACACTACAAGCTGTAAATGCACACTTCATGACAAATGTGGACATGCAAAGGAGGAGGAGAAGAAAGTCAAAGAAGTTAGAATAGGGGTCTAAATGAGCGTTACCCCAGCGACACTCACGACCAGCTGGTATAAGGAGGGTACCCCGGTGGAGGGGGAGCGGCGAGTGCGGGGTTTATCATTCAGTTTTTTAACTCTCATGCGTGGTTAAATGTCGCAGACTTCTTTACACCCCTTTGCCCTCCTGGCGCTGCTTTCTTGTTTTGCTTTGCTCCAACGGGCACTCGGCAGTGGCACAGGAGGTGAAGACTGGCACCCTCTCCAAAGTAAAAAGTATTATCATCAAAATGTACTTAAAGTATCTAAAGTAAAAGTTCTCATTGTGCTGTTTTACTGTTGTATATGGTGTATTTGGATGAATGTGGCTGATTGTTTAAGGTTGAACACATTTAAACAACTTTAATCTACAGCAATGCATCATATTCAATAAGTTCATCATATGTTTGTAGCGTGAGCTTTACATAAAAACAACCCTGTTCTCAGCCTTGTGAATGAACACATTGTCCAGATAAAGAAGCAGGAGAATTTTCTCAACCCATAAAGGACATTATAAACATTTCCTCCTTCAGTTTAAAATCTAAAGCTGTCAGACAAATGTAATGGAGTAAAAGTAAAGTTACATAAAATGCAAATCCTCATCATAAAAAAAACAGACTATGTTAAAATTTGTCAAATAACTGCACATAATTATATTTATGTGGGCCAACTCTGCTTTAAAAAACTTAAATAAACTAAAAACAATCTAATAAATAATCTCATGTTTCCACCAGATATTCTGATGCCCTTGAAAACAGCAGACAGGAAAAAAGTAGCCGCTGTTGCCACCATTGTTGTAGTTCTTAGTTTGTTGTAGTCCTTTCTTTTTTTAATCGTACCCAACCTGCAGTACTACACTTTACCAACAGGTGTTGCCATGCTCTCAGTAAACCATTATTCACGCTCTTTCTATTGCAGCTGCTATCACATACAGCATGATGTGTGGATTGTACAGAGTCTGTCATCTGGAAGAATTAGTGCTGAATATATGGAGATAAAATATATTAATTTCTATTTTTCTTCAAATTAACCACAGTTCCACCTCTTGTTTGTACGAATTTGGGGGGAAATTATTAATTTCACGTTAAATAATTACTGTAATTAACAGCCTCAGTGAAGAAAATGTATAAAATGTTCCTTAAGGGCTTAAAAAAGTGTTTGAGGATGATGAATAATTTATTTTGCAGGACACACATGCATACCAGAACATAAAGAACAACACAAAACAATCCTTACACATACAAAACTTCCCTTTTAAAAAGGTAGTTTGTTATGTTCAAGGAACTTAAGTCGTTGTTGTTGATCTGATTTAAAGACAGTAAAAGGACAGTGAGGAGGTGCAGTATTTATGGCAGGAGGTGCACTGAGGTCTCACTGTGAAATACATAACGATGAGGTTCTATTATAATTAACTAAACAAGTGCAGTCTTTAAAGCCTGCAGGAAATGTCCACTGACCTCAAACGCTCCGCTGTGGCGCTCTTTTACAAATTGGCTATAAAGCATAAAATTACACTTGAGTGTCTCTCTCAACAGGATGTTTAACCCCTGCAGGAAAGAACGACATCACGGCCAATTAATCCGGCATTAATAAAGAATCCGTCATTTGGGGACGTTATAGTGAAGTGCTGCTAATTGTTGAGTTTATGAACATTTAATAACGTTACCTTTGATACTCGTTGAACTTATTAACTTTTAATCCCTGACCTCATCCATGATTAATAACTCTCTGTCTGATCCTTTTTCAAATGAGGCCCCGGCTCTGCCTCTGACAGATGGACAGCCCAACTGCTGCCAACTGCTTTCCATGCAATATGCAAGATGTATGTAACACACACACATTAACACACACTAACACACGCACACACGCGTGCCCATCACTCTTATTAGTAGTCTGACAAAGCGGGGAGTCTCACTGCAGCATAAAGGGCTTATTTCTGGACAGGAAATCAGACTCTTCTATTAGTTCATCAGCAAGACGGAGACACAGGAATCATTAGCATGAGAAAGGCAGGCAGGTCTAATAGAGTGAGAGCGAGTGTGTATGTGAGACATTAAACTGTATCCCTGAAGAGCAAACAGCAAGATAAATATGAAATATTGTGTAGATTACTTTCAGAGAAACAGGCAAAGACTCAGTTCTTGTTTTCAATTAAAACTTTAGATTAGAAGCTTTCTATAAAGTCTGAGATCCTTTCTTTATTGCAAGAGTTTCCTGAACTGGCACAGCCTGTTTCTGTAATGTATTCTTTATTTTAATATTATTATTTCTTCCTGTAACCGTGTTTCTTTACATATTTATTAATTGGAATAAGCCTTTCTCTGAGGTGGGGCGAGGGTTGGCTTTAATGTCCATTCTTCTTCTTATTATTATTACTCTTATTATTCTTTTATTTCTTACACACTCATTTAACTTGTTATGTCTGAGCTGTTTTGTTCTATGTTGTATGAAAAGATGCAGTAAATATATTCTTTAAAAAGAAACTTAAGTTTAATGTCAGTGGAATTTTGTGATTTGTTATAATTCGTTAGATTATTTTAAATATATATATGAAAATAAAATGTTTTTTTGTCACTGTATGACCAAATAAACTGTTCTACCAGGTAGATTAAAGACACAAATGTTTGACAAAAGGTTTAATTAAACATATTAATAATAACATAACCAATTCACATTAACGCCAAAATGAACAACAAAATAAAGTTTAACCATCTAATCAGAAGTAAAAGTGCACATAAAGATATATAAAGATGTACAAAATAAACAATAAACTGATGAAATAAAGTGAAAGAATGGATGAAACTGAGATGTGTACAAAATAAACAAAACTTTATTCATGATATATATAGTATAAACAAACAAGTATGTGCTGTCGAATGGTCTGTTGATGTTATTGACAGAATTAACTGTAAGAAGATACGTAATGTAAACTGTAAAAGAAACAATGTGCACAGCTGAATAAAGTCAGACGGGACATATTGTCTCTTTTACACTTTCATTCTTATTTACCAAAAACAGTGAGCAGATATAAGATAGAAATAGTGTTTTTTTTAACTGTATTAAACATTTTATATACGTTTATACTTTTTGTTGCTTTCCATCAACGGCCATTAGACAGGGCTGAAAGCTCTGGAAGAAATCTAGTAAGAGGACCTTGAGTTGAAAATTAAACACTTTGTTCATGTTTGTTCATTTATCACTCAGTATGTTAATTAGTTAGCAGTTACAGACACTTTAAAGGAGTTATAATAGTTGACAGATGCATTAAATACATAAAATGTATAATGTGTTTATATGCTGCTTATAAATGCTGAATTAAGAGAGTTTGTTGTATTGTTTTAGTGTATAAAATGTACATATCAGTAATTTGCCTTAAAGATATATTGAAACCTCAACAGTAAACATATAGATGCACATAAACATACTGTACGTCTCCCTCATTGTAACTTGACTTAAATGTTCCTGTATTAACTTATAATGACATAATAATGTGTTCATTTGCTGCTCAGAAATGCTGAATTAGGGGAATAAAGTACGGGGAGTTTGTTTTAAACATACGTCTCCCTCTTTGTAACTTGAATAAATGTTTGAGGAGCTCCTGATCGTAAAGTGTAACTGTGGCTGATGATGGTGTTTGGGGCCCCAGCACACAGCCTGCATAGATTAAGATCAGCTAATTAAAGGCTCTAACAGTCGGGTGTATTCACACACAAATTCTCTCATTGAGGCTGTGTGTTTTTTTCAGTTTGGAGCAGGAATCAACAGACAGACACTTAACAAGCTGCTCAACACAAACGGACCGAACCCCGTCTCACATTTGTAAATGTGCAGCAGAGTGAGCCGGGTGGAGACTCTTCTATGAACGTTTGATAAGAGAGAAGATGTCCTCTGAAACGACGACATAACAACTCAACCACTGAGGAAAGTTGTTTTATGTGTGTGTTTTAAATCTGATACTGTTGCTCCTAAATGGATCAAAAGTGTTGTCTAATTCATTTAAAAGCTGGAAAGCTCCCTGATTTAGCAAATAATGGTCAAATATATGTCATTTATGTAGCGTAAAATAACATATTTGCCTGAAAAGAGACATGGCTTATAGAGATATATTCAGTTTTACTGAAGAAAAAGTACTAATACAATGTAAAAGTACTCATGGAGAGAAATGTCCCCTGTTAAATGTTATATATATATCAAGTGTAGAAAAATATAAATAAACAAACAAAAATAGAGACAATAAAAAGCAATAAAAAGGAGCCATTATATACAAATAGAAAGAGTGAGAGAATGTGTACAAAATGGCTGGATACTTAAACAAATGAGCTGTGTGCAGTGGGACAGAATGATAGTGTCAAATAAGAAAATACAAACAGTCATACAAGAAGTTACATAAAAAGCCTAAAATCTGCAAAATTATGATTGAATTCAGATATTGTCTGATTTAAGAACAAGTAAAGAAGAAAGCAACATTAACGTCAGCTTGTGATACAGTTTTCGATTCCTGATCAAGAAAACAAGATACTCAGCTATCTTTTTATTGCTTCTGAATTGTCGTCATATCATATTAAAATATACTCAAAGACTTGTCAGGATGTATCACTGCACTCTATATGCACTCTATAAACCTCCTCCTCCTCCTCCTCCTTCCTCTCTTTAACCGCCACATACATCCAGCACAGCCTCCCGTCTTCGTCCCCTCCTCATCTTTTGTCTGTCTTTCCCTCCAGAATTCCTGGCCAGAGGCTCGAGTCTTCTCCCTCTGTGTTGCTGTCCATCTGTTGGCTGCCGGGGCCTCCTCCACGAGCAGATGTGTACTCCTTCTCCCTCGACCTGAGCCCCGGAGGTGTGGGGGTGGTGGTGGTGGTGGTGGTGGCTGACCAGTGGAGGGGTGACCTATACCAAGGGAGAGTCTGCATTGACACTAGTGTAGACAATAAGGGGGAACAATGGTATGGATGAACACCAGGGAGGCGGTCGGGGGAAGCAGTGGCTGACTGACCGTCTCCATGCAAAGGCTTCGTATTCCTTCAGCCCTCTGTGAAAGAATGTGGAGATAGACTAGGAAACGTTTGTGTGGTTACTTATTAAAGATCATGATACAACCTCATCACAGCAGGAATCATCGCTTAGAGAGAAAATGATCATTTATGGTCATTGTCTGTATGTTGACATTTAAAAATGTTAACTGGATCCATCCATAAGTCAAATGTCCCTAAAAGAGGTTAGTTAAGTAATATTTTTAGTTTCAATCATCTAAATTTTGACCCGTTTACACAAGAAACAATCAAATCTTTGATGACAACCAGGATAAATCAGAAGACTTTTTAAAAGAGACCTTATAACGGTACATTAGGGGCAGTAAACGTTGCACTGGTGGCCCATATCCTCCTTTAGTTTCCAATACTGACAAGAAACAGTGTTTCTGCATGGGCTCAGTTTACACATCCTTATCTTAAATTACCTCTTATCTGAAAAGTCTGCTGGCGGGGAACCAGAAATCCTGTGATAAGGCATTTATGCTAATAGAAAAGCAAAACACTGGGACTGTGTTTTAAGGTAGTTTTTTCATTGTAGTTACAGAATTAGTTTGGTATTTAGAAAATACGATCATTCTCCTTCTTGCTGAGGGTTAGATGAGAAGATTGATACTACGTGCCAGCCGGTGATTAGCTTAGCCTAGCATAAAGACAAGTAACAGGGGGGAAAAAAGCCTAACAACACTTCTTAATGTTCCAAATTGACACATATTAAATTTTCTTTCATTTGTACACAAACAGAAATGTAAAACCAGTAAATTATGTTTTTTAAGGGAGATTGGGTGCCAGACCTAGCAAGAAATATTCCAGCATTTAACTAAAATGACAACATTCCAGTTTTCACATTTGTGTACAGATTAAGCAAATAAGATATAATATGTTAATTAGTAAATCTAGTGGTGCTGGTAAGTGTATTTTTAACCTTGAAAAGAGGCTGTTTCCCATTGCTGCATTGCTTAGCTAATCACCTGCTAGCTGCCGCTGCCTCTTTATCGTACAGACATGAGAGTGGTTCTTCTTTATCATCTAACACCACCAATGCACCAAAATGTCAAATTATTCCTTAAACTAGAATGGAAATCTATCTTTAATAGGTTTTGCCTCGAGTGTTTTTAGTCTCATATTAGCAAAAATTCACTATCACAGGATGTCTGGTTTCCTGCCAGCAGACTTCACAGATAAAAGATTTTTCCCGATAAGCATTTGCAGATAAAACATTGTAAACGTAGATTTTAACCCAGGTTAACTGTTTCACTTTGCCTCCATCCATCACCAGCTAGTTACAGCTTCATTTTAACTTTAGGCGAGTGGTATCAGTAACTAAATACAATGTACTGCCAGGTGGAGGGGGAATAAAGATTATCTCCCTGCACGAATCGTGATGAAAATGTTGATACTAAAACTGTGAAATTGCAAGTGGTTTTTTTTTAGTTAGTCAGCCCCTGTATAACCTGATATATATAATAGTCAGAGTAACGTCCTCCTGTGGCAGAACAAAGGTCATAAATAGCTGTGAAAACCCATCATTACAACGCTGCAGCGGAATGAAGTTCTGAGACATTTTTCTTGCGAGCAGCCTGCGATGTTAATTAGCTGCAGGGTGGTGTCATCAGTTTGTGGTGGTAAACTGTCTCCTCTGTCAGTGTGACAATCTGGGATGCTTCATAGCTGCCACCGAGTCTGCGTTAATGACCTGTTTGAACTAGTGTCAATGTTAATGCTGCTGCAGGAATACATTTCCAGATAAGACAGATGCAAATGTGCAAGTAAGTGTCCAATCAGCCGCTCGTTGAATCCTTCCTTCATCAGTACCCTGCACTCGGGGTCTGTCAGCTGTCCAGTATTTCTATTTTATGCTTGTTTATAACTTATACTGCACTACAGCTTGTGTGGTATACTTACTAGTTACTTTGCTGATTAGGATTTTACAGTCAGTGTACAAACTATAATGAATAGTTGGAGATTAAACTGCCCAACAGAACATACAGTAGTAAGACTACCTGCTTTCATGTTATTTAACAGTAATAATAATCAATATATATAATATATAACACTGACAGGAGTCCTTCTGCAACATACATATCTTACTTTTGATCATTTAAGTACATTTGATGATAATACTTCTTTCTTTTGTACTTAATTAATCATTTTAATGCATGACTTTTACTTGTAATGGAGTACTTTTAATAAAGGGTTTGATTAATTCTTCCTACACAAGAAGAGCTACAGAAACTGCATCTTATTGCACTTTTAATCTATTTGCTGGGCTACTGTCTTCTTCTACTAGTGCCTCTGTGCCTGAATTTTAGCAGTGTTGCTGTTTTTTTATCGAGGACATTTTGAGTGCTGTTTGCTTAGCATTAAGCTGTCTTCATGTTTACACAGACACAGTTGTTGTGGATTTAGTTATTTCAAAACTTTGCATAAACCTAGGAAAAAATGACCTCAGCAGCTCAACATGCACACCAGAGGTGGCAGTACTCAATAAGAACTAAGGGTACTCATGCAGGCAAAAATCAGAAGTGCAGGTATTCACTACTGGTGAGTATTGTCCCATTTCAGGCACTGGAGGGCGTATAATATATAATAAGTCTCTATCTTAAAATAGCATCAACTTCTGAGAGAAGAATGGAGAATTGAAGTCACACGACGGTCCAAAAAAAAACCCTTCAGAGGTTTTCTATACTGACGAGACACTGGATACTTGTCATTTATTACAAGAAAATTTTTTTAGAAAAACAGCTTCTGTATTCAAACTCCATTTGTCATTCACAAAGATCACCTTGAGAACGGTGCTTCACACCTACATAATACTGGAGACCTGTAGTGTTTATGTATGTGTGTGGGTGTTCTCCCTCCCTCGTAGCTCTACACCCTCTCTACCAACAGCTGCAGGCAGAGGCCATTGGTGAGAGTCCCAGGTACAACAATCCAACACAACAAACAGCCAACACACTGTTTGACTAAGAGAGTCACATTATGAGATAAATAGAGATTAGATTGGGTTTAACAATAATACACTGCAGTAATAAACTTGATCCATTTTTTATAGCAGCATTCACTAACGTTATAAAGGTTATATTGATTCTAGCTCACTGCCTGCAGGTTGTTGGAAAGCTTTAGATTTATTGGTTTCTCTCATTTTGAAGGACAACACCGGTTTGTTTGCAAGTTCTTGCTCTTAAACAACTTTCTTGCTGACAATGTTTTTTGAATGCATGTCCTACAGTTTTATATTTTTCACATAGGTTTTTTGTTCCAGGTCTCCATTCATTTCTTTAACTTCTGAAAATCAACCGAGTGCTGAAACTTCCTGCATTAATTCTGTTCTTTATTATTATAATGTAGTTAAAGGCAGATTAAAGTCTGCTCTTGATTTTCTCATAGCAATAATTTAACTTTGACTTAACTTTTTATTGTCTTTATAGTATGTTTTCATATGTTATTGTCAAGTTATGCTCTATGACAGCTGTACTTGCTTTCATCTTTATTCATATACACTTTTCTCCTCCTATTTTTATTGTTATGCATATTCCTCGACGTGAAAACCTACTTGGCAATAAAGCTGATTCAGATTTCTTTTTTTATTTAAATGTGAATGCTTGTTTTGTTTTTGATGGTAATATTATTAGCTTTGGTACATAAACAGTTTGTGAATCGTGCCCACTTGTTATTTTTGGTGTGTTG